AGACAGTGTTCTACCATTGCGCGGTTGTTCGGTAAACAGGGCACACCGTGTTTCCAGGTTAATTCTATCTGGTAGTGACCCTCCTTCAAGAAGATCGACTGCTTCATGATGAATAATGCACGCTTGTCCTCTTTTGGACATTGCTGGCTCACTGATGCATATGGAATCCGAGAATTCCCAGTTGCAGAACGTGCGAAACTGCTTGCTAAGTCCCTCGTCGGCCCTTACAAAGTTGTTCACTGGCTGTGGCTGACCCATTGTCACCAAAGGCCTATTTACCGTCTAACCAAACATAGTTCGAGCCGCGAATGGGCCTTCTCCTTAACTAACACCAATTTCTTGAGGTTCCGAGGCCTTTGGAACGTCGCATCCTCTAAGCAAGCCAATATCCACATGGATCGTTCAGATTTTAATATATCTGAGGTAAGGGAAGCTGACCACATCCTCTTGAGTCGGAATACTGTCATTACTCAGAGGTAGTTTCGGTACTGAAAACACGGACGGAAGATCTACGAAGTGATTTTCATCCAGATCAAATGCTTCTAAACTTAAGAGATTGCATCTCAATACACAGTTCTGCTTGGCGGGGGTAGTAAGGGAAAGTCGCGTCTTGACCCCTTCGATGCCCAAGGTGTTCACGAGCTTCTTGGAACAGAATGTGGTATTAGAGCCGCTATCGAGAAAGGCGTAGGTTACGGTTGATCTATATTTTTCTTTAGCCTTGACCCTTACAGGAACTATCGGTAGCGCAGTAGCTGATTTCCTGGCCCAATAGAAGCACACTGACCATCGGCCCTGATAAAGCTGCTTTGGGCGTTGCTCGCAGCCTCGCTGTCGGGTATTGAAACTTCATACTCACTAGTATTCTCACAACGCGATGTCTCCATAGGTTCTTGTGCATCTCTCTGTGGATGGAGATACCTGGAATGCTTGGATTAACATCCAGAAACCTTACAGAAACTTGACGTGGGGCACTCCCTCGGAAAGGGGCCAGGAAGAAGGCAGTTAACACAGAGATCCTGTGAACGAACGAACTCAAGTCTCCGCTCCACGCGAAGGTTCTTGAAGTATTTGCAGCAGACTAAGACGTGCTGAATATTGCAAAAGGTACACTTGGCAGGTAGCCATTGTCACAGATGAGCCATTGGATGAATCTGGCTGCTTATAGTTAACATCAACGTGGTGTGCATCATTCCCAGAAGTAGAAAGATTGGCACTTCTTCTCTTGAATGACCCTTTTCATTCCTTTCCGCCAACCCTTGGATTATCTTTAATGTCTCTAAATGCCGGATGGGCCATTGCGCGAGCTTTCGCGTCCAAAAATTTTACAAGCGTCGTGGAAAGGGATCTCTCTCTGCTCATTATTCGTAATATCATCTGCCTTGTCGAGCCAACTTCGTCTCAGGGGGGAGTGGCAACTTTCTCACAATGTTCTTTAGACTGTCGGTATTGTCAACCTTGTTGAGGTAACCAACAGCTTGCAAAGTATTTTTACAATTTGTAAGTGCAACTCAATGCTTCTGGAGAGCGTTACAACTTCCACTCTTTACGGGGAGCCTGTTTATTAAACGTTCTACCAGTGCTTGTTGCGATTTATATCCTTGTCCGTACCTTTCCTTCAAAAGCCGGAGCGCATCGATGTATCCCCTATCTGCAGGTTCCATCGCTAGGCACCTTTTTCTTAAATCATGGACATCACCACGAGTGTACTGTACAAGGTAGTGTAGGTGCATCTTGGTGTCAGTGGTCTTCGCCACGATGAGATTCGTAAACGAACGCACGAAGTTGTAGTAATTGGCGGCGTCTCCGTCAACACTTGCACCTCGCCGTTTGGCAATGTGAGTGTCAAGGAAAGCTTGTTTTGCTGAGCAAGGAGTTCTTGGAAGTGTAAATTTTTGAATATGAAAAAGACTCTTGTTATGCCTTTGCTGCTCTCTCTCTGAGTCTTTATTAGTTCTTGTAGTAATCTCTCCCCGGTAGATGAGCCATGTGATGATGGCTTATCTTTTACACCCCCTTCATAATGACCAACAAGGCGAACATCTTCAAATTATTTGTTCTCTATAGGCTTGGCATCCCGTAGAGCTGTGGGAGGGCGTGGCTTCATAGGAGAAAATGGCTGTTGATATAACGGAAGAGGGAACACTTGAGCAGGAATTCCAGATAGCTGTTTGACGCTGGCAGTTTCAAGTTCGGCATTCGCATACGTTTGCTCCTCGGCCTGTGCTCCAGCAATTTTCCTTTCCAGATCCAGCTCACGCTTTCTTTGACCGAGGCGCAACTTGGCTTCTTCTTGAAGTTGTTGCTGCTTAATAACTTCCTGTCGAAGACGTAACTCTTCTCGCCGTATAGCTTGCTGTTTATGGAGGGTTCCAGCATCTGCTTGTAGAGCTGCCCTTTTTGCAGCAGTGGCCAATATTGTGCTATGCACATGGGCCAAAGAGCCACCACCCGATTTCCGAGATGACGCGTGCGATCGCGCGTATGTTCTCCAACCGACGTTGCTAATTGAGTCTTCCCGTCAAATCTCGCTCTCGTGGTTATTTGCACTGGCCGTTATGTTGCGGTAAACTGATGTAATGTCTCTTGAAAATTAGCAATCCTTACACATTCGGATTCGTAATAATATTGAGAGTCTTGAATCTCTTTTTCGTCACTTAACACTGAGAGATAATCTGCATGAGCAGTTTCTAAAGCCTTTATTGACTTGTTAAACTCTTGTGCCTCGGATAAAAATTCCTCCGCTGAAGGTGATTACGACATACACATAGTGATCTCAGTAATTTTCTTCGAAACGTTGCCCTTTGCTGCTCGCCTGTTTCTGCGAAGAAGGATTAAATTGAATCACCGTGTTCTGTTTATTCATTTACACTTTCAGAGGAAAGTTCACGGAACTATGTCTTACCAAGAGGAGTAGAGGAAGCCATGATTTTTTCATCTATTTTGTGAAGACATTGAAAAATTTTTTGTAAGAGTTCAATTTGAGGCACAATTCTTTAAATAAATTAATTTTGGTCAACGTTGTGTATTTGTGATTTTTGAAGTATTTCCCCAGGGGCTGGGTACAAAAATGAGGTTTTGACATAAGACATTGCCCCGCATAGCGGGGAATTTGCCTCATCTCGCTGGGAGGCCTGGTCTAATGCCCCGATACTCCCCGGGTATGGGCGTGCGGGGCTTTCCACTGACTAGTGCATTACAGTTCTTGTCGATGCTACGTCTAGAAAATTTTATTAGACGTTTTCTTGTGTAGCATCGCTGAGTATTTTTACGAGTTGTGCAGTATTTTGACGAGCCCGTAGGGAGAGTCAAAATATAAACAACGAGTGAAAATGCTCAGCGATTCTTAACAACAAAACGTTTAATAAGAGATTTATCATCCAACGTGCCAGATCGTTATTTCAGTACGGGCGAATTTTGCGGATATCTCGAGAGTACAAATATCGCTTGATATTTGTACTCGTCTCGCGTGATGAGTGTACGTACACATGTTTACTAATTTAGCGCTAAGCCCTCAAAAAATTTTTAGAAACACTTGAAACCTGGAGATTGGTGATGAGATCTTTCTTAGTCAATGAAAAAAATATCTTATGATTAATTATGGGCCAACTGAAAAATCTATAATTAAAAAAAATAGCACAGGTTTTCCCTTTTCCAACAGGAATTTCAATG